AAAATTTTGATCAGGTATTTTATATAGTAAGTTTTTCATTACATATTTAATTACTTCAACTTTTAGATAGATTGTACCTATTTTTTCAATCTGGAAAATTTGTACAATAGGACGCTGATACAATGATGATGGATTATGACGAACTTCCACCGGATTCTTCATCCTCAACACAAAATCAAGTATCTATGTATGAAGCTCAAATGCAGAATCCTTCTATGCCATCTGCGATGGTATCATGCTCGCCAATTCTGACACACAAGTTGCATTATCCAGAGAATTCTTCTCTTTGCGATTCAATTCATGCACCAAAGAACAAGAGGAGTAGTAACTCGGTTTCATCTATCACAGCATATGAAACCATAACGTATTCTGAACAAAAATATAATGGCCCGATTTCATTGTCTCTTGACGATTCAATTCATTCACCAAGGAATATTAAAAGATCTACAAATAATCAGAACAATCCAGAACTTGTTTCACACGGTGTCACTCCACAAATCTTAAACGATAATAAATGTGATCAGATTGAATCTATAGAAATATTGATGATGAATGAAGAAGCACCGCACTTCCCAGAAAGCATATTATCAAGACAAATCGAATCATTTCAAGAAAGTTTTGTGATAAAAATCATTGCTAACCTTAATAATTTACTTCCGCCTGCAATCTCGTATCATTTTCAACAATGCTTTGGTGACGATTGGACTTTTGTTATACCAGCCCAGCCTTGGTCTTTATTTACGATGTTGAAATTCATGGACCGTTATTGGTTCACGGTATTTTCCGATGTTTTTCAAGGAATAAAGAGAATTCGCATTGAGACGATTTCGAATATGATTTCATTTATTTCTATTTGGGATAAATATGAACATAATAGAAAAATGAATTTCACCATTAAAGATATAATGCAATTTCTGAAGAACTCGGAGATCGTATTCAGGATGATATATGATGGTGTAAAATGGAATAATGAATTAATGATTGAAACAAAACAGGTTGCAAAAAATTGGTGGAGAGAATTTGAATCTTCACTCAACATAATTTCATAAAAATGTAGTTATTAAACATATTTGGTATAAATCATTAAAATGCTGACAAATTATTAATCCTAATATAGAATGTACAAAGAATTTTCAATTTGTTCACATGACTATGTGATATTTCACACGTTCTTATTTATTTTTTTAATTCAGGATTGCCATCCATTTTCAAATTCAGCATATTATCACAGAAATCAAAGGATTTGTCCCCTTTTGGATGTTTGCCCGTTAAAAATATATTTATTTTGTGGCACCAGCAAATTTTTTTAAATCTTTTAAAATCTTTAGATCTTGATTTAAATCATATAAATTCTCTCATATCATTCATTAGTAATTAAATGCTGCATATATTCAATATAGGATTTCGTTGATAATTAATTGCTACATGAAAGTTTGACAAAAAAAAATTTTATTACAAACCTACTTTACTATATTTACAAAAATGTGGAAAGCTTTCAATAGGAAACATATTGGTTATGCTGGTGTTTTAGTAGCTACAGGAGCAGCCTCTTATCATCTTTATAATGAAAACACGCTTAAGAAACGTCGCTTACAACCATATCGACAACACCTTGCTACAATTTCACCTGATCTATTCATGTCAGAAACTCATTCAGACGCGTTAAACAAGGTTCAGCTTGAGGGTTTATCAGATAAACCACACACTTTATGGACTCCTCCTTCAAGAAAGGAATTGGTAAACATGCTCAAAGGACATAACAAGGATGGTTCGCCAAGCAAAGTTAGTACCGAACCACCTTTTGATATTCTTATCATAGGTGGAGGAGCCACGGGGGCAGGCGCGGCGCTTGATGCTGCTACAAGGGGATTAAAGGTTGCATTAGTGGAAAGAGACGACTTTTCGTCTGGAACTTCCTCTCGTTCTACAAAACTTGTTCACGGTGGTGTTCGGTATTTAGAGAAGGCTGTAAAAGAACTTGATTACGGACAATACAAGCTTGTAAAGGAAGCACTTCATGAGCGTTTCACATTTTTACAAATTGCACCATATCTAAGTTACCAATTGCCAATCATGTTGCCTATCTACAAGTATGACTTTCGCGACCTTTTTTTTCAATTATTTTGATCGTTTGAATTAATTCACTGAATATATAATGATATCATTTATTAAGGTGGTGGCAAATCCCCTATTTTTGGTTTGGTTCCAAATGTTATGATAAGCTTGCTGGAAGAGAAGCTATTGAAAGTTCTTATTTTTTGACACGTGGAAAAGCGCTTGAGGCCTTTCCATGGCTGAATAAAGACAAACTAGTCGGTGCAATGGTTTATTATGACGGTTCGTAATATAAATAGCTCAATTACTCAATGTAAGAAATTGATAATTTTCGCTGAGGTGTCCCTGTTATCGGTTGATCATTGATGTCCCCATTCATTCATTCATTCAGGTCAGCATAATGATGCTCGTATGAATGTAGCGATTGCCTTAACGGCAATTTCACTTGGTGCTGTCGTTGTTAATCATGTGGAGGCAACAAGGTTGATAAAAAATGAAGACGGAGAGGTCAGCGGTGCATGTGTAAAGGATACTCTAACTGGAGAAGAATGGACAATCAATTCAAAAGGTGTTATAAATGCTACTGGTGCATTTACAGGTAAATAAACTCTTCTAGCTTACTATTTCTTAGATGAACGTGTAAAATTTTATTGGGTTGTATGTGTTAACCCCTTTTTTTTAATTGATAAATCATAGATAGCATTCGTTCGATGGATAATTATAAGAATGATAATATTGTTGCCCCTTCTTCCGGAGTACATGTTATTTTACCAAATTATTATAGTCCTCGAAAAATGGGCTTGCTTGATCCGTCAACTTCTGATGGAAGAGTTATTTTCTTTTTACCTTGGGAAGGAAATACTATTGCGGGTACAACTGATTCACCAACAGAATTAACGTATGATCCAATGCCAAAAGAAGAAGAAATTCAATGGATATTAGATGAAATTCGGCGATATTTAAGCCCTGGTATTTTTAATTGTAAAAAAGAGTTTTGATATTATTAGTTTCTTGTCTTATTAAATTTATTTATTTAATAATCGTAGATATAAAGGTTCGTCGAGGTGACGTATTAGCTGCATGGTCAGGGATAAGACCTTTGGTGCGTGATCCTTCTGCAAAAAATACTGCTGGGTTAGTGCGAAGTCACATTATTCACGTCAGTGATTCTAATTTAATCACTGTTGCTGGTGGTAAATGGACGACATATCGTGCTATGGCTAAGGATGCAATCGATAAAGCTATTGATGTTTTTGGTAAATAGGTTTCTTTTTTTTTTAAAAAAAAGTAAATTTATAAATTTACTAATCTGAACTCTAAACATTCGTAAAGAATTGAAACCTCTAAATGAATGCCTTACAGAAACGGCCAAACTTGTTGGGTCTCATGGATATTCAAAAACTATGTTCATTAAATTAATTCAACAATTTGGTTTGGAAACTGAAGTAATTTACACCTTTTTCCGCATTGCAATATATAATATTTTCTAATTAAATTTGGAATTTTTAATACTAATTAATAAATGCTTTACACAGACCGCTCAACATTTATCAAATAGTTATGGAGATCGTGCTTGGGCAGTCGCCGCACTATCAAAGCCTACAGGTAAACGATGGCCAGTATTTGGTCAACGTTTAAGTCCTTTCTATCCATATATCGAAGCCGAAGTACGTTATGCTGTTCGTCGAGAATATGCTTGTACTTTAGTTGTATGTAATTTTTTATTCTTGAATGGTTTGATATTTAAGTTAGTTTATTAAATCTCTTTTATTTAAATGTGATTTATTAGGATGTTATTGCGCGTCGTACAAGGTTGGCCTTTCTTAATGCTCAAGCAGCCCTTGAATCTCTTCCTTACATTATTGAAATAATGAGTGAAGAACTTGGGTGGTCGCCTGAAAAGCAAACTCAAGAATTCGATAAAACCGTCGAATTTTTGTTCACTATGGGATTACCTCATCCCAAAGAAAAGTTAACCATAAACAAAGTTCAAATCGAATCCGCTAAACGATCAGAGCATGAAGACATTTATTCCCGTTCACAATTTCAACCAGAAGAATTGGCTAGTTTCCAAAAAGTTTTTGCAGAATTGGATGTGTCAGGTGACGGACGTATCAAAACGACCAATATAGAAAAGGCTTTAACGTTTGTTGGATATTCCGTGCCTGGAAATATGTTGAATTATATTATGACCGATGCGAAATTGGATAAAAGTGATTCCATAGAATTTGAAGAATTTTTAGAGATCATGAGTGGTGTGAAAGAGTTGCAACTTAAGAATGCATTGTCTAAGATTGTTGATCGTCAACCTGACAAACACGAACAAAAGAGAATTCCAATTGAAAGATCATCTGGTGGCGTTTAGATCAACTAAATCTTTTCTCAACGGGATCTTATAGAATTTTATTATTTTTCATTCATCCATTCATTCATTCATTATAATTTATAATATTGTTATTGGTTAAAATCGATTAAAAAACGATCATTTGTATATTTAACAATTGACTACCTTACAAGGTTATATTGTGACTTTGACATTAATTACGTCAAAAACACTTCATTAGATATTTTTATTTGTGGCGCAGTATGATCTGGAATTATGACATTATTATGTCATACATATAAAAAACATATATATTTTTAACCGATTTTGTCTCTAGCCCGCCCAACAAGCCCAATTCTTTCGCGACTTGTTCTATTTTATTATAGATATGTTTTATTCTTTTAGTATGTAAAGTTTTAAAGTAAATATCTTGTCTAAAAAAGTATGTGACAAAGCCTTTGTCAGTTCACTGTATATACACGACACCCCAAATTTTTTTTTTTTTTATAATTCCAAAAATTAAATTATTTCATGTAAATTAGCTTTTTCTAATAATAAAGATTTTTTCTAATAAAATAGTTTTGTAGCATTTCTCGTATTATATTATATCTTAAACAAAATTATGGAGGCGGGTCCTCTTTCATCAACTAATAATGATGCATCAAATAATAATAGTATTCAAATAGATAATGAACCTTATATCAAAGGTGGCAGCCTCATATATGCAATATTAAGCACAGTTTCTCTCTTTTTTATGATAATACTTTCAATTATATACGGACGACTCGATCACAATCGTATATTTGTCTATTTTTGTATATCCATGGTTTCTCTCTATATACCCCACGTACTTGGAGCCTGGATATATGGTGCAAACTTAAATCAAGCACCTCAAGTAATTTGTTGGATTCAAGCGTTATGGATCAATGCATCAGGGATAGCTGCAGGAATTACAATATTAATATATTCTTTTGAGATTTATAGAAGCTTGGTTTTACGCGTAACTGAAGGTGAATGGTTACGACGAAAATTTTATTTGGTCATGTTAATAATCATTCCGATATTAGTCGGTATTATTCCTCCAGCTATATTAGCCGAGAAACCGAATGGAATTTTGCCAGGCCCGTATTTTTGTGTTCTCTATAAGCCAGAGATACCAATGATTTTCATTAGGTAGGAACTTGATTTAATTTGTTTCATTGATTCCGAGGAAATGCGTATTTAATTAATATATATACTTGTAGTATTCAAGGTTGGAACACTCTAACAAGTCTTTTTGGAATTTATTTTTCGATACGAACTGCTACCATGGTTGTAAAATTTATTTATATTCGAAAAGGAGTTGTTAAACCAAAACCCTCCCCAATACGAAAATCTCGCAATATTGGAGTTGAACCTAGTACACCAACTGCATCAATTTCTAATTTCCATAATACGCGACAAATTGATGAGTGCCCTCCCCTTTCTTCTAGAACTATTGCTTCTATACCAATGTTTGTATGCATACGGTTAGTGACATTTGGAGTTTTATATTGTGCTGTAACTATTTTAGTTTATGGAAGAAATTTAGTTTTAAGCATCAAAGGAACTCCTTACGATTCTAAAAAACCTTTTATGGAATATATCATTGCATCGTTGGGTATAGTATTATTCATAGTTTTTGGAACTTCAATGGAAGCGATTAGAGCGTATTGGAAGTTTATTAAAATTATATTAAGTTGTCAATGTTTAAAAATGAGGCGTGATGAAAGTTTTAGTGATTGGGAAATTCAGAAAGAAAAGAGAGAAGAAATGGAAAAGGCCAAAAATCTAAACACTGTTCGCAATCAGAAGATAATCAAGAAATGACTTGAACTATTTATTAATATTATTTATTATTTTAAAAGTTTTTTTTTTATAATCTCTATTATTATTATCGTCTTTTAATTTTTGTAATGTAAATTTTGTAGTCTACTTTTAGATCAATAAATCATAGTAAATCACGTGATAAATTACATTAGCATGAAATAAAAAATCAGTAGATAAGTTTAATTTTCGCTTCGAAAATCATGATATAAAAGTAAACAAGAAAGTTGACACTATCTTGTTTGATATAAGTGAGAAGGAAACCGAGTTTCAACTCTGATGTCATTCATTTTTAATTCGAGTGTTCCATAGGAAATCGTTGTAAACAGTGAAATCTATCAAACAATTATTAAACGCGCAATTTGTGTAAATCCTATCAAAGCAAAATAATGAATGGTCCTCACGGTGCAAATGGAAAACAGCGTGGTGGCAGTGAAGCGGTCAGAGCAAATTATATACCAGCCCCGAACGACGTCCGATCGTCATTACAATACACAGCATTAGCTTCACTCACTCCGGCATCAGCAGGTTTTTGTTTTTTATTTGGTTTTATTTTATGGTGATCAATGTCCTTAAATGACTTTGGAGGTCTGTTTAGATACTGGACTAACAAGCATGACTTACATTTCTTTCACTTCTATTGAAAAGTTATGAGGGATATACCTCCAATAGCTATTGCATTCGAAGATTATATTACATGCAATCCAGCAGATCCAGAATACGCACGTATTGGCAGTCTCTTGGAAAATCAATCAACATCACAATTTCCTGACATATCTCTACATGCGGTTCGTGGATTGATTAGCCAGGCTGATGTGAGCTATGTGTAAGTGGTCGTCAATGGTTTGTCGATTTAATTCTTTTCATAATATGTAGAATCATTCACAAAACTGTATGAGCATTAAGTTTAGTTTTTATATTTTGAAATTCCTAATTCATCAGCCATTTTTGTAACTTTTGATTTAGCAAAAAAAATTGTCTTTATAAAAAAGTAATGTTAAGATTAGGAAAATGACACCGTATTTGTTGAAATTGTTCATTTTGAATGAAGATTTAATGATTTTTATTTTATTATTATTTTTATTTTTATTTTTTTTTTGAACTAGCCGATTTAAAAACCCATCGGTAACATTCCAACAACCTTCTTTCGACTATGCGATCAACCCTCAATATAAACGTCCGCTCCAACAAACTATGGAATTTATCTCTCAAGGCAGTATGATCTCACAATATGACTATAATCATAAACATGATATTTTTGGCATAGATCCACCATATAATAGTGTCATGAATAGTTCTGTACCTCAACGTATTGATTATAATCAAAGTTCTTACAAAGGATCAAGTATTTCACCCACTCAAAGGATATCCAATGATCAGATTGAACAACAGAATACGTATAGTAATCAAGACATTTATAGTAACTCAGTAATAAGTAATACGTTAGAAAGCCAAGGGATTAAATCATCATCATTGGTTTTCTTGGAAACTCCTGCACATTCAAATCGAGATTATCATTCTAATGTTTATTCAGAGAAAAGTGCAATTCCACAAACTTATCAACAGAACGAACGTCACAACTCTCCACACGTTGTTATAGAAAGTACACTTATTTCAAAACCTTACATTCAGTCAAATTATACTGTTTCGAAAGTATCATCTGAATCAGATTCACAAGAAATAAATTCAACCCAATTAACTCCACAAGTCGTTATTGATCAAGAAGGTCCTTGTGTAAAAGATATCATTGATAATCAATACGAAGACTCGAATATTATCCCAACTACAAAACGACAGAATACTCGTGCACCATCCCCTAAAGTAGTTATTGAAGTCACACCAAGGAATAAATTAGAAGAGTATCGTTCTCCTCCAAGTTCAGATTTTGATTCAATCCTTAGCTTGCAGCAATCTCAGAAAAAGGCAAATCAGGAATATAAAAAACATAGGGATAGGGATAGGGATGAAGAACGAAGTGGAGAGAGTAAGTTTATATAGTTTTATAACAAGTTATATCAAGTTACTATTACTTTAATTATAACCTTTTCTTTAATTATAGGCGCATTGATCCATTTGATTAATTATATGAGTACGATATTTGAAGCTGAGGATTCCGTCGACATGGAACAATCCTCTAATAATACTTTTGCATCGAATTCAACATCTCTGCTAATTCCATCAAGCATGGGTTCGAGTGAGCCTTTGCTTACCACAAGCGCAATTCAACAACTTACGAAGTTTGTTAACAAAGTGAGCCGTTATAAACGTATGGAAGATGCTGAAGTGGACGATTTAGCACGTCTTTTGAAAATATTAGATCGTTCTGTACGTGAGGTCGAAAATTTGGATGTATTACCTAAATCAACATCTCAAGTCAAAATAGTCGCGACAAATTCGAAAACTAAATTTAATCAGAAAAATTCAGATAATGGCATAAATGAAGATGATACTCATGAAGATGAGGAAGATTCAAAAATGAGACAAATTGAGGAAAAACTTGAAAAAATAACTAACGGAATTGACGCCGCTATAGCCGCATTTTCAATCATGACAGGCGGTAAATTAAGTAAACAGGTCTGTTCTTTTTTGTATTGCTTCATTATCTGTGATTATAATATATTAAAATGTACGATTTCTTATTATTGAATATAGCTATATCCTGAAGATTTAATCACTTCAAGTTTAAATCTTGTTAAAAATCAACTTGGAGGAATCATTTATCGCTTTTTGGAATTAAGTACCTCTAATGAGGAATCAAGTCGTATGTTATTTTCCACATTGAAAAAATTTTTATGGTTATAGTTATTTACAATCCTTATTCTTGTATAGATGCAACAGATTCCTTATTGCTCGAGATTTCTGATAAATATCCTTTTTCATAAAAGATTTTCCTTTTATTGATTTGTAGTTTTATGAATCCTTAACTATTATCATCTGTTTCTTTTACTTCTCGTTTAAAGCGTAAAATTTCAGGGATGCTTCCGATTATAACTACTTATTTGAAAAAGTTATATGACTTGATGCAGCAAGAAGAACTTTCTGATAGTATTGTCATAACTGTTAGTTTTATTGCTATTGGACCATTTTTTGTTGATTCATCAGGTGGAGGCGGAAATAATTTATTTGGAATCAATGTTGAATCCATGAAATTGGTTGCACTTGGGTTATTGCGATTGGTGAGATATGATTTATCTTATTCTTTTTACAAGTTTGTTGACGTTTAAAAACTTATTTCTAATTAATTTAATAGGTTTTCACAAAAAATCAAAAACAACGTACTTGGATTTTAGAGGAAATTCTAACTTCCCTGATTAAATTACCTACCGCAAAACGTAATTTGCGACAATATAGGTGATTTTTTTTTTTAAAAAAAAGGATTAGTAATGGTTTTTATAAAAGATTTATTATTATAATAATAGAGAATTTTTACTTCGTAATTATTCATAATTATAGGTTACCTGATGGTAAATCAATTCAAATGGTTTCAGCACTTATTTTACAACTCATTCAAAGTTGTACTGCTGGTACAAATCAGTATGATTCTAAGGAAATTGATGGCCAGCGTAACGATGAAATTCTTAGGATGAAGATCAATGACGATGTTAATAATCTTAAAAAGGTTTTTTTCCTAAAACGCATTATTGTTCGATTTTTAGATCACAGAATTCATTTTAGTTAAAATTTAATGTAGTGTGGCAGTGTGTGGAAAACAGGAATTGATGCAGCTAGCGTGAATGCCGGCTATGTCTTCAAATTCTTGCTGGCAAGGTATTTCACATTCTAAAGTAATATGATTCTTTTTTAATTTCTCTCTTAACAATATTATTTTTTAATATGAAAAGATGTACAAAATCTATTAAAAACTCAAATGAGTCTGAATATCGTGTGCTGTTGGATAACTTTATGGAAGATGTAATTACAGTTCTAAACTTTCCAGAGTGGCCTGCCGCGGAAATGATAGTTCACATTTTTAGTAAAATTATGGTAATATATCTTAGTTGAGTATATAAAGTTTATTTTTCTTTATTTTCGATTCATTCATCCATAATTCATTTGTAAATCTTAGGTCGGTTATATTAATGATAAGAAAGCAGATACATACACAAAGTCCATGGCTATTGATTATTTAGGAACAATTGCTGGACGAATAAAAAAATATGCCAACAATGCTCTAATCAATGGTGAAAGCACATTGGAGGATAATTGGGAAAGTAAAGAAGTTCGTCATTGTATAGATATGGCCAAAGATATTCCTGGGGGAGAGGTGTGAATAAATTGATATTGCCTAATTTTTTTTTTGTTTTTTATTCTATTCATAATGATGATAAACTTTATTTTCATTCGTCCGATTTTAGATTACTAGTTTGACGAGTTTACAGGCAATTAAATATCTTTGGGAATGTCAAAAGACTGTTTTGACATTTCTAAAATTTGTTGCACTGCAAGATCCCGGGGTACAGGTATGCGTTAACCTGTTAGAATTTGATAAATCATTACAAAAACATCATTTACTAATATATTCAATGATTTTTTTTTATTTTATTATTTATTTATTTTCATTATAGTGCGCTCGGCAGTTTTATTTGGCAGAATGGGGATATTCTTTTGTTAGTTCACTACTTTCTATTACTGAAAATTTGTCAAATGAAGACAGCGAAGATAATGATTTAATCCGTCCAATGAAAAAATTGTTGGATAAAATCATTGCCGAATATTGGCAAATTTTTTTGGATGATAACATCAATCAAAGTTTAGAACAAAGGCAAGTCGTTTTGTAGTTGCTTTAGCAAAATTTTGTTTGCTTATTACCTAGTAGCTTAGTTCTTTATTATTCTATGAGTAGGTCATTTGATACTGAACGCTCTGATATCAGTCTGATAACTGAACTTCTTGCAACAAGGCAAGCTCTTTATCAGAACTTTGACTCGATTCTCTCAAGAATTTTGGTTTCACTTGATACAGGAGTCGTTGCCTTCCGAACTAAAGCTCTGAGAGCTTTAGGACAAGTAGTTGTTAATGATCCGAACATTTTGAGCCAAGTAAGATAGTGATAGAATTGTTTTATTTATTTTTACTTGATTTTTTATTGATGATATGATTACGTAGGTTAATGTTCGGCAAACAATTGCACAAAGACTTTCTGATAATTCACCAGCTGTTCGCGATGCAGCTATTGATCTTGTTGGTCGATATCTCTCGCAGAAACCCGAAATTACTGAACAGTATTATAAAGTTATTAGTGAACGAATTTTGGTAATATATTTTTGCATCGTTGATTAAATGAATATATTTTTGAAGTAATCCTGGTAACAATTCATTTTAAATATACAGGATACTGGTCTCAATGTCCGAAAACGCGTTATCAAATTACTTCGTGACATATATCTTAAAAGCACGGACCAAAAGATGATGATCGACATTGGCTGTAAAATTCTTATGCGTATAAATGACGACGATAATCATGTTAAGGTAACTTATTTGTCAGTGATGAAAAATCGTTAACCTATTCATTGATACTATTTAGCGTTTTATTTGATTTTAAAGGACTTGGCTTTAAAAACCATTCAAGAATTATGGTTTGTACCTTTCAAACATCAAAGAAATGTTAACGTTGACATGAATGATCTTGATGATGATAATGAAGGACCAAGTGAATTTACCAACATGTATGCTGTTGGCAAGAAAGAAGTTTTAAGTAGAAGTTTGTTAATTGTTGGAGTTGCGGGACGTCTTGGTGAAAGGAATGGTTGTGTTTTAGGAGGGCTATTTAAAAAGGTTAGTTTTGTAGTCATTAATATGGACATGAAAGAAGTTGATAGACAAATTGCTTTTTTGAAAAGATCATAGAAAAGGTTGGCAAGCAGAAACGAGAAGTCCTAAATATATGCCAGTGTATGGTGGATTGTCTCTTTGAACATTTATTGACATTACAAGATTCTAATTCAAAAGTATTTATAATGAACTTTAAACAATTTTTTTTAAAGAATATTTCCATGATAACTAATTATAATATTATATTTTTCAAGACTGAGGTTGTGAGTTGTATAAGTACCATATGTCTCTTAAGTAATGCTTCTCCTTCACTTGTTCGAAGGCATGTCGCCACTTTGCAACCATACTTAAAAAGTGCTAGTTCGGTAAGAAATGTGATGTTTTCGATAAATCTTGAGCTTTATTTTTTAATTTATTCTTGATATTATAGACCGATGAACAAACAATCTTGTATTATGTATTAATCATCTATCGGAGTGTTCTTCCACTTTTAAAGCGGCCAAATCCAAGCTTTTTAACTGAGGTAGAACAAGCACTTCTTGGTCTGCTTACAAAAAGTCCACAAAAGGTATTATTTGAATTTAAATAAGCATGTAAATATTTGTAAATATGTTAAGCTTATTATTTTTTAGATTCTTCAAGAGGTCGTGCCTTGCCTTTGTGTCATTGTTGATAAATTAACACATAATTATGCTCGTTTAACGAAGTTACTAAGATCTTGTATAGGTAATATTTTTGTTTGATCTATTTTCATGTGATTCATACCTACTTACCTTCTTGTATATTGTATTTTAAAGAAAAACTTAAGATTGAAAAAAAAAATTTGGATACCGGAAGAGATATATCTTCAGCTCGAAATGTTATGGTTCTTCTTTTAATTATCGGTTTATTGTGTAAAAACTTTGATTTTGACAAAAAAAGATCTGAACATCCAGGTTAGTAACTATTAAAGATATGATAATTTGTTATATTATTATCATTTCGATAAGGTTCATTATTTATTTCTTAATAGACGAAATGAAGGAATTAAACCTCATTGACAAGGTTTGAACGAATATTATCTATGATGGATGCTTTTTATTATTTAATGTATTATATGATAATCTATCCATTTTTTTTTTATAAATTTAGGGACCTATAATAGCCATTGTTTTCCAATTAGCTTTATATTTTTGTGGAAAAAGCTTGTCAGAAACTGTACAGAAAATGGCATTACAAAGTTTAGGTAAGGATAATCAATTAACATTATGTACATATAAAATTATATTTCACTTTACAAATTTATTAATGTTATCTTATATTAGGTTTTATATATTTGTCTTATCCAATAATCATGCTCAGACCGGAAAGCACCAGTCTAATGGATCGTATTCTAAGTACTGGAGTCATGGATATGAAAATACAATTGATGAAGGTATTCGCCGATTTTTTGGTAGCAGAGCAACAAAAGATTAACACGGATTTGGAAGATAAAAGTGAGAATATTGTTATAATCATAAAATCTGGTTTGTTTCAGGTTATAATTTACGTAATTTCTTTTTTATAGAACAAAAAAAAAATGTTCCTGTCGATTTAAAGGTTTTGATTGGGAATGCGGATGAGTTTGCGGAGGCTGGGTAAAGTTATATAAATCGGTTAAAAATTATATATATATATTTCTTTCTTTCTCTGTCTTTTTTTTTAAAAAAAAATTATTTTCTTCTTCTAAAAAGGGTGAGCAGCTCTTTAATGCAACGATATCTCGACCAGATCCTTGAATGTACTTTTGATCAAACACAGGGTTTGAAAACAATTGCTTTAGATGTTTTGGGCAATATTATTCAGCAGGGATTAGCTCATCCCGTATTGGTACGTGGGATCTTTTGTTCATCTCCATTCCTGTTATATTTTTTTTTCGACGTTATATTAATGATCAATTCTATATCTATATTATAGTGCATGCCAACAATTGTTGCCATAGAAACTAGCCCAGAACAAACTATTCGTGACAAGGCGTTTAAATTGCATCAGCTTTTAAATGAAAAACACGCTTCACTGATTCATTCACGAAATGTAGATTGTGTCAAAAAGGCATACGCTTTTCAAAAACAATTGGTTGGTGATAATCTTATTGTTGGTATGTTATCTAAGAATCACAAAATTAAGAATGTTTTTATATATTATTTGTGGATCTTTTAACCTAATTATTTTTTTTGATAAGGATATGCCGTTCGAAACGATGAGGGATATCCAGAGGCTTTGCTTAATCCGATGTATTCATTATTAAAAGAAAAACGACAACGTCGAAATGATTTCTTAATTTCAATTGTCAGGACGTTTGATTTTGACCTAATACAATACGATGATTCGATGGTATGAAATTTTTATAGGTTGCTTTAATATAACATATTCATATGCATTTGATCTAATAAATTTCATAAATTATTATTTATTTTTATGTAGGTTGATGTTGGTTTTTGTAAATTCATCGCAGAAAATCTCGCTACTATTGATTATAAATCCTTGGAAGAAGTCCTTCATGTTATATATTGCATCAATCGGGTTTTATCAGTTGTTGCTATAAGTATTCTGCATTCCATTCAACATAATGCAAAAGCTCTTAATATCAACGTGAATGTATTTGATCAAAATAAGTTTTCCCAAGAACTAATCCTTGACAATGTGCAAATAATTATCGGAGACAATCCCCCGCTTGATTCGAGTCAACATAATGTTCCCATGCTTAATGCCGAGGTTAAGGAAATTAATGGGAGAGATGAAACCTTAAAGAATAACACTAATTTAAATTCAGCGCCAATTGATATTAAACAAAATTCCGAACTTTTAGAGAGTGTAGAAAAAATGGCAATACAAGATGGTCTAGAACGAGAACCGATAAACAAAGATAAAGATAAAGGTAAGATTAATTTATTTTGTTAATTAAATACGATAATTCAGACAATATATTTTAAATTTATTTCTTTTTATTGTTATTATTATTATTATTATAGAAACTATCTTACCATTACCTTATGCCGCCAAGGTTTCCATTTGCATGGTTATCCTTATGTACTTGAAAGAACATTTGAAAAAGGCATATGCACTTAGCGAAGCGTAAGTCAGAACTCTGATAGAGATTTTAAAGGTTCATTATATACATTAATTGACCGTGATTTTGTAAAATATTTAGTAAATGTCAGAACTTCAACCCAGCCCAAAGTGGATCTAATAAAGATAAGCCGGCATTACGTCAACAACATGCTTCACCAGTGATTACATGGGAAGGTCTTCCATTCGTAGATAAACCTTTGATAACTGATGAAGATATACATCAACAATGCGAATTGGTATTTAAATATATTTTTTGTTGCAGAATACCTTGAAAATTTCTTTTCGATAAAATAATCATGATTTCTTTGCTTCAGTTCAGAAAACTTATGTCTGAGGATGGCACGCAAGAAGAAGAATTTGCCGATACGGAGATGGAAGCAGACTCAATTAACAAACAATCGAATGGTTACGTTAACGTGGATTTCGACGATACAACCATGTCTTTATTTGATGAAACAACGCCAACAATAACAAAATCGTCGGGAAGCACCCCTACAAGGAAAGGAATCGTACGTAAATTAGGTTCAAAGTCAAAAAATACGTCACCAAGGACGCCAGGAAGTGGTAAAAAAAGAAGTGCACCAAATGATGCTATATCTAAAAAGTCTAAAAAGAAACGAAAATCAGTTATAGATAATGTGACCGATGATGAAGAGGATAGTGATTTTCAATTGTAGTAATTCATTCAGATTTAATTAATAATAAGAACGATCATTTATTTGCATTTTTTTCAAGTTTTTCTCTCATTATTTGATGTGTTTGGTAAAGAGGTTTATCAATGCCTTATAATTATTTTTTAATGTTGTTGATTTGTAATATAGAATATTATTATTTTTTTTTTTCATCTTAATCATCTTTTTCTTTCATTTATTAATTTTTGTAAAATATAATCTTTTCAATTATTCATACTTTTTTTTTGAAAATAGTTTTTGTAATTTTATGTGTATTTTAGTTTTATATTATTAATCACCTTTTTATTTAATCTTTTCAAAAAGGTTGTCTTCCAGTTTACGCTTTAAGGATATCATTAATTCAAAAATTGATTGATTTTATTAATTAACTAATTGTAATTCATTCATTACCATATACCTAGAAAATAAAATATATAAATGACGAAACCAAACCAATTGAGTTTGATGAAATGTCATAGCTTTTCTTGCTTGCATAAAATTATTAAAGGAAGAAATAAAAATTAATTTGGTTGGATTTTTAAATAAATAAGTTTGAGGAAGGTCAAATACGGATATATATTTTCTTAATAACGAGACTGTTGTTAGTTTGTATAAAATGATGTTATTTGAATTGGTAATGGATTGGATAAAATGTCTAGTACAAATGAACAAATAAATTAGTAGTATATTCATTTACCAATATAACAGTAATTATTATATTTACCTTGCACCTTTAAACGCGGCTACATGATTTGGATGGGAAGAAACCCCCTTCTCATCAAAAGTTATAATCTGTAAATTTGAATCTTTAATTTTTACCTATTTTTTATTTTATTTTTTTTTATTTTTGAAAATTTACAATGTAATACTTACAGTGTCAATACGATGAGTTGTAACATAATCGTTTATTTTGTCGGATATTAAAGAAGGATCCCAATTATTATTTAGACCATCTTGTAATAACCTTAATTGAATCAATGAAATATTTAATTTAACAAAGGCGAATGAGATATTTTTACCTAAAATCACTGACAACTTACGGATGATCAATAATATTAACATTTCCGACATCAATTCCAAGCGTAAAACAGCTACGCTCCAGTTCTTTCTTTCGTAACTCTCCCAATCCAGATTCATTTCCTATATCATTTATATATACACATTCATAATCATAATAAATAAAACCGGATAATTTTTAATTCGATTCTAATATAACGAAATACTTAAATACCTATTGATAAACATAACACATGAATTTGATTTTTTCTATTTTGCAAGGAAAGTAAAGTGGGACCAAAAAACATACATTCATCATCAGGATGAGATATAACTAGTAAAAAATTTTTTTCACTTAATTGTTCTTTATTATCATTATCGTTCATTATAACATATACGATTATTATATTTATTACAAGAAAAATTAAGGAATATATTATGAAAGAAATCATTTTTTTAAAAAAATTAAATAGATGATTATTTTAAAGTTGCGCTTTTGAAACTGTGGATTGCGATTTTTTAATAATCCCGAAAAAATTTGATGATCAATCGATTACGTAATGGTTCGATGTCAACATAAATTTCAAACAAGCTACTTGTATATTTTTATACTCACTTTGGCCTCTTTTCTTTTTCAAATCATAATTTTCAAGAACATGGAGGTCATCCCAAATTTAAAACGACTTTTCAATGACCATTATACATATGATGTTGTATTGCGTGTAGATGGGAAATGTTATTTTGCACATAGCATCATATTAAAATATCAATCGGGTTATTTCTTGGAATATTTTAAAGAGGGACATGATGATAAAAGGAAAAATGGAAAATATTATATAGATTGCTCTTGTTTAAAGAAAAGTTGTATCGTTGTAAAAAATTGGTATGATATTTTTAATAAAGAGGAGTGTAAATATGAAAATGATCGGTTTCATAATGTTGAATTTTATTACGATTATGAAATTTTTGGTAAATTCCTATCATATTTGTGAGTATCATCATCATTAATGTTTTATAAATAATTAAGAGGAAATGATAATGAAAAATCATTTGATTTTTAGCTATGGATGTTCGATTTACATGAGAACAAATGAACAATTATTCACAATCGCTTATTTAGCAAAAAAATTCAAAGTAACGGGATTAACAAAGATGATGGACGGTTTACTCAAATATTTACCATCAGTCTGGCAACAAAATGATATTGATTATTGGAAATTTACTTTGAACATTTGTAAATGGCTTGAACTTGATCAAACTCAATTAGAAATTATGAATTATCTAAAAATGAGGGAGGAGAATGAAGTAGGGTTGGGTAATGAAAAGAAAAGAAGGAGGGAAGAAGAGGAAAGTGAATCCTCTTTAAGTTCTGGGTCCTCTTCTGAAAATAGTTCAAGTGACGAAGATTCTGATTCTTTAGTTGACAATTGATGATGCTGTTTCCCTCTTTAAAAAGTTTTAAAAAGTAGTAAAGAATCTCGTTTTGTATGACTTTTGCTCGTTAGGAATTATGTTTTATAGTTTATTGCTAGTGTTTGCATTTTTTACTGCAATCTAAAAATTATTTCGTATGTAACGTTTACAGTTAAAATAGGATTGATTTTATTTTTTAATTTAATAAACTTTATACAGATAACGAAATATAAGAAACCGTTCTACGCTCATTTAGAGAACCTAAGTTTTTTTTTTTTGGTCAAATTGTAGTTTACATTAAAGAGCAACCCGAACCGACTAAAAGAAAAAAAAAAGCAAATTCAAAAAATTAAATAAAATGATAAATTTATCTTTAAAAAATTTCGTTTTACATACCGATTTTACGACGCTTAGTCAATGTTTCACGAGCTACTAAAAGTGATTCATCTTGTTGAGCTTGCTGAGGAATGGAAATAGGATTTGGAATTGCTGCAGGTATAGGAGAAGCCATGATTGAAGCAGGTCCAATAATTCCCAAGAAAGTTAAAATACCTGCGAAAATTGTTGTGATTTTAGCAATTCCGATCATGATGAATAAAACGTTTTTATGTGTTGAAGTTTCGTAAAGTTTATAATAGAAAAGAATTTTTTTTTTTTTTTTTTATAGATCCTTTTTTAATGTCAACATTAAATTTTTTTTTTTTGTTTTTATCTTTTAACATTTTATCTTTTTATATATTTGAAAAAGATAAAACTTATAGGCGCACATCATCTATTTCGTGATACATAAACCGACAAATATTTAATCGACCATTTAAAATAATATTTATTTATTAAAACCTTTTAAGGAGTTGCCAAGATTATTGTTTTGTATTTGTTTGTTACCGAAAAATATGGCTTATTTTTCACATTTCGCGTGAGGACCAATTCATTATGCTCCTCTAATAGCACGACCGTTAAACCGTTTTTAATCATGCATGATGTTGCATAAAATTAAATCTTTTTTTTTGATAATAATATAAATAAAATGAATTCAAAAATCATCAAAAATTACTTAAATTAAGTAAAAGAGTTAGTTAATTATCTTATATCTTTTATTAACTAACATAAAATATGGGACCTTTGAAATAGAAAAGGAGGAAACTGCCGGGAAAAATAAAAACGAGTTAATGCTAAAAATCATATTTGGCATCTCCCTTTCTATTGCAAAGGTTCCATATATTTTTCAAATCATTTTTTTATATATATATATTTATTAATAACTATTTATAATTAAAGTTCATAAGATTGAACTTTCAATACTAATTAATTGTATTTATTATTTATAAAGATATAAATTTCTTTATAATTAAATATTTTACATAAATAAATCTCTTATAATATAATTTTTTAACTTTTTTTTTTAGCATTTAAAATTATTAGAACTATAATTTTTTATTTGATAATTATCCTATTAATATTTATACTGATATATTTAAAGTTTTATAACCTAGACTATTAATTAAAACATTTCTATATACTAATAAAATAATTTAAAGTATTAAAGATAATATCTGCTATAATATCTGCTATATCTTCAAATAATAAAATATGTTTTATTTGAATAAATTAAATGTTGTAATCTTGTAATTCTTATAAAACAAATTATTAATATATTTTCTTATTTTACATTTATTAGCATTAAAAATGAATTTATACTATTGAATTATAACTTTAAATTATAATTTAAGTTGCAACTAATTGTAGAATTTTGAAATAAAATTATAATATTAAAATTTGCAATTAGTTTATTACTATTTAAAATAATAGTATGTAATGCATAATAACTAACTAGCTTATAATTATATATTATAAATATATTAAGTATTAAATATTTTAAAATAATATCAATATTTTAACTTATGTAAAAAAAATATAGATAGCTTAGAAAATTTATTTTATAGTATATTTCAATCTTCTTTTAATTTAGAAAGAATGTTTTATTATGTTAATTATCAATATGATTTAATTCTTTAATAAGTTAAATAAAAGATTAAAGAATTATAAGAGGATTTGAATTTTGAAGATATTTATAATAAAGAAATTATTAGAAAATGCTTACCTTTTATAGCTAATAAATAGCAAAATCAAATGAAATAGTACAAGCTTTAGTTAACAAATTAATAAAATTATAAATCAGATATATTAAATAAAAATATATTCAAAGTAACTAAAATAATTTTACATTAATTACTAAATATCATATATAAACTAAAACTCAAAAAGAGTATAAATCTAATTTATAAGATTATTTTAATTTATAATTATTTATTATTTTATTTTATAAAGTATTTTTAGTAAAAAATAAAAATAGTTCTTATAATTGTTTTTAAATTTTATTTGAGTTACAATCTTATTGTGACATTAATAAATTTAATTACAATATGAATTGTAATACATTTGTGATATTTTTTGGTAATTGTAGTACTATCTTTTATTTTAGTAAAAAAGAAAATGAAAAAACAATAATAAATAATTTAAAAACTTACTTAAAAAGAATGATTAGTTTTTATTATTTTTATTAATATTAACCTTTTTCTAAATTAATTTAAATTTACTTATATTACTTATTTATATAATATAGTCCTAGTTAAAGATGAGAACTATAATTAATACGTTGCAACTTTTAATGTTGTAACATATATTACAATTAATTTTAATATATATATGTTGCAACTAATTTTAACTTACAGTATGTTGCAACAAGTTGTAAATTTGAAATTAATTGCTACACCATCTTTAGTCCTAGTGAAAAGAATAGCGGTAGTTATACTACATCTATTTTAGGTTATGACATATTTAATTTTCTGATTTAGGCTATAGTTTATATGATTAAATCAGTCAATAAATTTCAATTTAAAAAGGTAAGTCTAAATTTGTATTTATTTTGATTTTGATTTTGATTTCATCCTTATAACTATACTAAACTCTGAAATAAAATGAAATTCAGTATTAACATTCTAAAACTAAAATATACAAATACAAAGAAAATATCACAATAATTATATATTTCTTTATGTATTTATAAATCATATATCAGTTTGCTATGTAAAATTGTTAATATAACTATAAATAATTCAATGTATTTCTAATCATAATCCAGTAGGAATCGGATAATCTCAATAAAAATATGTTATTTAGATCATTAATAGCATGTCATACTAGATTAAAGTATATATAGATGCAGAAGAAACTCATACAAAATATTAATTAATTAATACAATTTGTTTTATTAATATCAGCAATTAATTAAAAAAATTGTATTTAAATAATAAAGTTTTTATAGTTTTTATTAATATTTAAAATTGTATCTGCCATTCTTTTTGACTAAAAATTTTTTTTTGAAAGATAACTAGTATTAATAGAAGAAAATAATCAGATATCAGCATTTCAAATACCTTAATTATTTCATATATGTTCTATTTAAAATCTCATAATTTATATTGGAGACAATCCAGTAATACATTACTCTAAAGACTATCATCTAGAAAGTGAACTTTCTTACATCCTTTTGAGAATATCTTGAACGCCTAAATACTATCAAATTTAAATAAAGTGATTATTATACTTAGTCATGATAACTTTCTAATATTATTACTAATAATATAAAGATTAACTATTATCAAATTCTGATTACTTAGTTTGATATAATACAAATAATACCAAGTGACCTTAGGTTTATGATTGCTATATTATATTTTTTGACTCTAATTATTATATAATTTTTAACCTATAATCCATTCTAGCTTAGATTGATATGAATCTAGAATAGCTTTAAACAATTATATTCTAATTAATAATTCTAAATAAAAGTCATATCTAATAGTTTATATATAACTTTTATTATTATTTATAATAATAATTATATTTGACAATTCTGATATGATTTTTATTATTATAATTAAAGTTATCTTTAAAAGTTCAAATGTAACTTTTTTTTAGCAAAAGTTATATTTGATAGTTTAGGTATGAATTTATAAGAAAAAGTTACCTCAATAATTCAAATATAATTTTTATTAATAATTTTCTTAAAGTTTCACAATTCAATTTGATATTTGAATATTTGATTTAAAAATCAAATCAAATACAAATTCAAATTTATATTTGATTTGATTCGATTAAATTCAAATCAAATAATGATTTATTTGATCAAATCCAAATTAATATTTAATTTGATTTAATCAAATTCAAATCAAGTATTCAAATATTTAATTTGATTTGAATCAATAGTAAAGCCATCTCCAAAGCTTTAGGAGTGGATCTTACTAAGAAAACCATAGTAAAAAGCGCTCCGCAGCTTTAGAAATGTATTTTTACTAAGAAAACCATAGCAAAAAGCGTCTTCACAACTTCAGAAATACCTTTTTTACTAAGAAACCCATAGTAAAAAGTGTCTCTGCAGCTTTGGAAATGCTTTTTTTATTAAGAAAATCATAGTAAAAAACGCCTTCATAGTTTTGAAGACATTTTTTACTAAGAAATCTAGTCTGCAGCTTCAGAAATATTTTTTTTACTAATAAAATTGTTACGAAGCTGAGATGGCAGTTATTACTAAATTTTCTTAGTAAAACTGAAGCTGCAATGGCGGTTTTTACTAAGTTTTCTTAGTAAAACTGAAGCCTCAATGGCAGTTATTACTAAGTTTTCTTAGTAAACTGAAATTGCGATAGCAATTATTACTAAGTTTTCTTAGTAAAACCAAAACTGCAAAGTTATTTTACTAAGTTTAATAGTAAAAATTCACCTGTTATTAAACTTGCTTCATAAAAGCTATCTTTGAAATTTTTTAGCACAATTACTAATAATTTTCTTAATTTAAACTTTAGAATAACTTTATTGTCCGAAGTGTATGCGTAGGATACTTATGGTTAGACTTTATATTAATGATAATTCTGTCTGTCCGCACGTGTTTATTATCTAATGAAATTCTGAGATCAGGTATAACCGTTAAAATAACAATAATAGCATTAAATTAATAATAATAATCATATATCACTGATTTTAATACGTTTCGGATGCTCTAATGGTTCCCGTTACCTAAATTTAATATATCATTGTAAAAATTAAAAAAAAATTTATATTCAATTCGATTTGATCAAATATTTAATTTAATTTGATTTGATTTGACAAATATTTGATTTGATTCGATTTTGAGAAACTCTAAATTTTCTAATAAATATCATATCTAAAATATTAGAGATAATTTTAATAGTATTATTTTTAATAAATATTACTTCTATTAGTATGTAAAATCTATATACACATATGCATATATACATATTAAATTTTTATATGCTTATATTATATAATATAAAAAATGTATAAGTTATTACTAAAAATAAATAAATTATATACAAAAAATGTAATTTTTACATAAGAAATTATTATGATTTTCTTATTTTAATAATAAAATTTTCAACTTATACACATAATTGTTAATTTGGATTTTATATACTGTTTCTGACAATTTGGATATAACTTAGTTATTATAATTAATTCGGATAAAATTTTTATAAGTATTTTTCTAATAAAAGTTGCCTTTAACAATAT